TTCACCTCAAAAGTCTGCCCATCGTGCAGGAGTTCAATGCGAATCGGCCGTTCCTCTTTCTAATTCGCGACAACCTTCATCAGGTGACGCTTTTTGCCGGCGTCGTCAATAAGCCCTAGAAGGAGAAAGTGGTGGTACTGAAAACCTCAGGCCAAAGATTGTGTTGTACAAAAGCCGCTGTTGTAAAAATAAACAATAATAAAACCAACTCAAGTGTGGTCAAAAGGTTCTGGTGAAATATGGCGCACTTTAAAGCAAAGTTTTATAGCATCACACTACCTCTGCCGCCGCCAATAATGTTCACGCAATTGAACTTTCTTGCTGGAGTTACCACAATTACCACTTTTTCCTAATTAGCGGAACCAACAGTACAAAGCTGCTGTTGTTTCGTCGTGTAAGAGGACTTCAAGAGAACGGCACCTGAAAAGAGAACTTAACAGAACCGAACTCTTCCACTCGATAAAGTACCACTCCACATTTATGATTCATTAGCAAGAGAGGCGGCAGCAGCAGCAGCAGCAGCACTCGACATCGATCTCATCTGACCGCGAAATTGCCTCTGACATTGGCTAAAGTAAGGGAGAGAAAGAGAGCAAAAGACATTTAAAATGTAAATGTCCCTCATGGCCAGACACCACTTTTCTGCTGCTGCAACAGCAAATGATTAATGCCACTTGAATGCCTCTCTCTTTTAAGTGATGAATGGAAATTAGCCACGACCAGTGCTCTCTCTACACAAGAGCACCAAGTTTGCTGTTCCAAAAAGACAGATTCAGAAGAGGTAGAGAGAGAACGAGCACCAAATCGGCGCCGATTGATTTAATTCGCCATTAACGAATACATCTCACTTGCTGCGGCTGTTCCAGGAACAGCCGCAGCAGCAGTCCCAACCTCAGTCTCAGCAGTCTCACAGTTTTAGTTCAGCAAATTCAATCGATTACATAATATTATTGCCCCTGACGGTACCACTACCATTGCTTCTACTACTTTCTTCCTTCAAGGACCAACCAAACGACTTCAATTACCGCGAGCACCACACTGGGAAGTGAAAGACACTGCACAGACAGGCACTAAACGCGAGCACATTACGGTCCTCGCAAATGGTTTAGCGCAAAAATGTTTAAAATTGAAAAGCTTTGGAACTGCTGCTGCTGCTGCTANTTCTTCCTTCAAGGACCAACCAAACGACTTCAATTACCGCGAGCACCACACTGGGAAGTGAAAGACACTGCACAGACAGGCACTAAACGCGAGCACATTACGGTCCTCGCAAATGGTTTAGCGCAAAAATGTTTAAAATTGAAAAGCTTTGGAACTGCTGCTGCTGCTGCTACAAAAAAGTCATTCTCTTAGCTAAGAAGAGTGAAAGGGAAACTCCGTTTCATTTAAATGGTAATAGAACAATGAAACAGTGCAAGTGGGGTGAATATGAGATTCAGCTGGGCTGGTGGTGGTGGTGGAAAACAAGGCTAGGGTTAATTGGAAGTCTTACAGTAAAAGAAGTGGTAGTAGTGAAAATGGGAAAAAGAAAAAAGGAAACAAACTCAATCGACGGGTAAATCAATCACAGGAAATACTGCTAAGCAAAAAGTGGTCGACCTAACCAAAATGGTAAAAAAGAGAGGAGGTGCACACTTTTTGCTGAGCAAAAAAATGCGTAAAATCTACGTAATTAAATTAAAATGTAGCTAAAAATTAGAACAACTGTTTCACAGTTTACACTTCAATATCGAACTTGCATTTCAATATTTAAAATCATTCATCATCAGCAAAAGAACAGCCATTAAAAGCTATCGTCATCAAATTCAATCCATTCACTGCTGCATCTTTCACATTCCCTTTCCACAAATTCATCTCATTCTCTCATGGGCCAGTGCCGCTCAAAGGAGTCCACGGCGCCGGCGGTCCACTTCTCAACGCCGTCGCTCATTGATGACACCGCCGGCTCCTCCACAAATGAGGTAATGAAGAGCTGCAGTGAGGTGGGAGAGGGCGGCAACAGACAACAACAGCACACTAAAAAGAGCAACAGCAGTCAGCTGGACCAGCAAACCTCACCGACGCCCTCGACCTGCATCACCAAGTCGCAGTTTCTGGCGCAAATGTCCGCCCCTTCCGGCATCGAAACCGCCCAGCTGACCACCGTGTACCGCGTGCCGGACAGCAAGTACGGCTCGGCGGAGGACGTGCTCCGGGACCGGGGCCTCGTCCTGCTGGACATGTTCGACGAGGGCGGCTTCGCCAAGGTCTACCGCGCCGGGCGCCGGTCGCCCGGAGGTGGTGGTGGGCGAAAGACGATCACCGGCCCGCCGATGGCCTG